GGGGTCCCTTATGCAAAAGGTTGTGAATGTCACTGTTTTGACATTCTCGTACAATATCAGCGACTTAGTTGACAACTTCAAAATAGGGTTATGTTTTCAAATGACAATCTTGATATTGTGGATAATACCAATTTTTGACATCTTTTGTTTGCAGGTTTTGCTCGTGTTGAACTGAAGAACGAAAATGATCTGAAAGAAGCCATGACGCGACACAAAGACTACATGAGTATGTCTTACATTTTGTGACTGTACAGAGTTACTTTGCTTCTATGTTTGGCCAGTTTTAACCAAGGAAATCTCATTATAGATTTTTATCTTCTTCTCGGTTAAATTGCCTTCTGAAATTAACATAATTAACATGTGTCTGTGACAAGTACCCGTAGTCATATTCTGAAAGCTTTGATGTTCGAAAAGCGGCATCAGATATGTTTTACAAATTGGTTGCTTACATGTGTATGATAATGCTACATAAAATTTGTGAATAATTATGAAACAAAAGTTTATTTTCTGCATACACGGTGAATTTTATGGAATAGTGATTTTGTGGTAAACTATTCAAAGATCATTGGTTACTGCAAGTCGTTAAAATATTATAAGCTTGAAATATTCACAATTCAATAGGACGAAATTTTACAAAAAATTCTGTGAATCTCCATCATAGCAACCTCATTGGAATGTTCATGGCTACAACATTCCCCCTCTCTTGCAATTCGTGAATTGTTGTCTCTTGAATTAATTGAAACTGTTTTATACAATAGTTTTCAAAATACAGCATAAACGGAAATATCTCCAAACTGGATTGTAGTAATTTGACCTTAGTATTAATACATCTATGTTATAATTCTAGATATTTTACCCTTTTGAACTTTGCTGCACTTTCATCCCCAATATTGATTGAAATCTAAACATGAAAGGTTTGGGCAGTGATTTACAAACAGGGGTTTTTCTAGAAAAAATAAACAAGATGGAGCACACACAGGCGATCAATCTGGAAATGCCATATCGGAATTGGTGTCCAGACACATTGTCAGCTGGTGTTGCTGGGAAGTTTTCACAGAGAAAAATATATTTAAGAAAGATTTCATGTTGTACGGCAGCACAGAAGTGTGCAGCTCAAGAAATATATTTATGACTTGAAAGTTCAATCGTCAATACAGAGGGCGCCAGCTGAGAGTATCGGGGCGCTGCACACCTGTTCTCCGGTTTAGAAAAAGCCTTGTACACACAATTGCAGTTACAAATGCAAGTGAGAAATTGAGGAGATATTACCAATATTTGTGAAAATGTATACAAGATAATGTGCTGACTGTTTTTACTATGAAGGATGTCAGAACATTTCGTCAAGCTTTATTGCAGTATTGCTATCTAACCTGCTAGCTACATTCCTGTATTGATATACCCCCTGGTATGTACTGTAAAATGACTAATTTTCACTGGGTTTAAATTTCGCTGATTTACCATGTACGACCTAGAAATAGTGCCGTATGCGAGTACCAAGTTGCGAGTCGCAAGTAGCAAAATATGCCATATGCTAGTGGTAAAAACGGCATATGCGAGTGGTAAAATGTATCGTTTGCTAGTAGCAAAAAAGCCCTATGCGAGGAGTAATACAAAGGCTTGTAACGTTTGCTTATAATATAACAACGTACGTTCAATTGTGTTTTATCACAGTAAAATCAAATATTTACCATGGTTATGAAATGATGTGTACATGGTTGGTTAAGATTGGCATGATGCTGTATCAAAAAGTTCGTTCAGTCATTTGCATAGAATCGATGTTTGCTCTTCACGAAATTGCACAGGAAACGTGAAAGCACAATAATTTAATAAACTGCCATGACCAGCCAGCACACTCCGCATAATATGTGAAATTTTTTTTCTTTCGGTAAAATTAGTATGAACCCTGGTCAGCGATTAAAGAATCATAAATTATAATTGTAGTTAGTAAAAACGGGTGCATGTTCACCAAAGGGTCACAGAATTCTTGTGTCACGCGCCGCCGTTTAAATGAAGACAATGGCAGGTTTCAAAAGTAGTCACACCTCGGAGAGGTGTTAAATTTGCCACAACCCAAGTGTTAACTAGCACACAATTCCATGATACATAGTATATAATAAAGAAATAAAGTGCATGTTGAGTGATAAGACCGCATGTTTACGAGACGTCACTCACACGTGGAATGTATTTACACGCAACCCGGATCAAATTTGAATTGAAACAAAGAAGTGTCTGCCGTTGCTTGGTCAGGATAGAGAGACAATTTCCATGGGTAAATGCTAGTAGAAGACCCTCAATGCCCTAAATACTTCGACCTAACCACTTTATTTGTACAAGTAGAAAAAGTGATATGTTTCGTTAAAACATATACCTTAGAAAAGATAATAACAATAAAAATATACAGTTCACATATATACTCTCAAGCAAAGATCCTGGCATAATTATAGAACTTGCCAATTATATTTACACAACACAAAGATTTATTTAACATTTAAATACTAGTTTAATAAGTCCTTTTGTATTGTTTTTTGTACAATTCTTACATACATGAACTCTGATAGGTCCGACAAAAGATGGAAAAAAAATTGTGGATAAGATAGTCACACATTTAATATATTGACGTTCATTACGCGACAAACCACGATTGTGCATTCGAACCCTGACTAAAACAGATTGTATTAGATGTGTAATCTAATGTCTCCCGTTCACGTGCATGGGCGGCGAATAAATGAACATACATCTGTCAAACACAGTGTGAAATCGTGAAAATTCCCTGCAAAAGACGAAAAATAGTTGTTAAACAAGATAGTCAAGCATTCGTTGTGCATTCAATATATTAACATTAGATATGAACACGTATCGAATATAATTTATACCAGGGCCGGATTGACCAAACTGTTTTGGGGCCGGAACGTCCAAACCAGGGCCAGAACGTCTTTTTTTTACCAGGGCCGCAACAAACCAGGGCCGGATCGTCTAGAAATCGGAAAGTTGGATACTTGAACGTGAAGTTCCCGGGCATGTAGTAATAATAATAATAACTTTATTGCCTTCGTGTAATTTTTTTTACATAGGATAAGTACACCAAAAAAGAGTTTTAAAATAATAACAAGATATATGTAAGAATTGTACAAAAAACAATACAAAAGGACTTAACTAGTATTTAAATGTTAAATAAATCTTTGTGTTGTGTAAATATAATTGGCAAGTTCTATAATTATATCAGGATCTTTGCTTGAGAGTATATATGTGAACTGTATATTTTTATTGTTATTATCTTTTCTAAGGTATATGTTTTAACGAAACATATCACTTTTTCTACTTGTACAAATAAAGTGGTTAGGTCGAAGTATTTAGGGCATTGAGGGTCTTCTACTAGCATTTACCCATGGAAATTGTCTCTCTATCCTGACCAAGCAACGGCAGACACTTCTTTGTTTCAATTCAAATTTGATCCGGGTTGCGTGTAAATACATTCCACGTGTGAGTGACGTCTCGTAAACATGCGGTCTTATCACTCACATG